TGGTAAACACTGTAAAATATTGTCATTTTTAGCTTCTTCAGATACAGTACACCTGTCATTTTGTGGTCATATGTCTTTAAAAAAATGAATTACTGTTTGTTATCACAGCTTTTTAGATTTATATGTAAATTAATATTTTTTTTTTCTACGATTGTACTCTATATTTACGTGTAATTGAACAAAACATTAAAAATCTGTAAAATAACATGATTAAAGTTTAGAATTTTCAATCCTTAATATACATAAAATTATATTTATTGCAGATTTAAATAATGTAAAAAAAATTTTTTAAAAAGTGCAATTTTATGGTTATTTATAGAAGTAGTGATTTTTTTTAAAGTGGACATTGTTGTCATGTTTTTTAAGGGTCACCATGTCAGCACACCTCTTTCTATGACTTTTACTGGTGATTATCATTATTTAACAATAAAGGGAATATCTGTAAAATAACCATAACTGTTAGAAAAAAGCAAAAACAAATAAAAACTGTTGGAATTTTTTAAATTTTATTTTATTTTTACATTGCATATGGATAGGTTAACAATATAACAATAATAAAAACAACAACTCTTTCACTGTCATCACAACATTATTTGGGGGTAATTTGATGTTTTTAATATGAGAAGGAAACAAGTAAAATAAAAATCTAACTGACTCTCTTCACAGACAGGTAGCTAATGTTCAAATTAAGATTACTAACTAATTGAGATTTATATTTGGTTTTACAGAAGACAGTTTAATTTGATTTCACCATAAAAAACTTATTAATAAAGCAACTGACAACCTGTACCATATAAAAAACTAATATTTGACAGGACTATATGAGGTTCTGCATCTTCTCCTCCACTCAGACTGTGTTTCTGCTGCAGTTTATTTTAGCAGACTGTCGATGTGTGTCCAGTACAGGACGTTATCTGGGTCACTGTGGTTCATCGACCCAACGTCACCTGTTTTAAATCACCTGACAAACTCACCATCCAGCAGATAAAGGCAAAGGTCAAACTCCTTCCAACCACACTTTTAGTTTTGTTTTTGCCCTCAAGAAAGATCATTTTACACCAGATATGTTGGAAATAGTTCTAAAGATAGTTGTAAAGAAAGGCTGCAGCTGACTTTGAACACAGACTGAAAAATGTTTTCTTCTTGGTTGTCATCTTGTCAATTCTTTCCTCTCATCTCCATTGATTAGTAAATCAGTGCTGATTAGGAACTCTAACAGACTGACTCCTGTATAGTGGTCCAAATATATAATTCGTTAGATTAAATCAAACACACAGAATAACAAAATACATGTTTCACTGCATAAACTGATCATCAATCCACACATTATTGACTGCCTGATTTCTAACAGACATCTTTGTAGCATTTCTAGATTTAATCCACTAGATGGCGCCAGTGTAGACAAAGTTCTGATTCAGTGGTTCAGTTTGTTGCTTATTGGCTTCTTCTCATGAAAAAAGTGACGTTTTTAATCAGTTTTTAGTGTGACAAAGACATTTATCTACCCCCACTGATATTAATTAACTTGCTTAGTCTTTATAAATCTGGTTTTAACTTCCTGTGCTTTTATTTAGCTTGTCTGCACTTTTATTCATTTAATGTCATTTTTTTCTTTCTATTTATTGTTTTTTTTAAATTTTCTTGACTTTTGTCTTTTTCTGCTGTTTTAGACAATCAGTTAATGATTCTAATAGATGTGTGTGCACTTTCTTTCTTTTTAAACTTGTCTGCCGTGTTTTTTGTTGTTGTTGTTTTTAATAATTTACTGTATTTTCTATTTTATTTGCCTTTGCCAGATAAATAAGGTGTGATATAAATAAACATGCTTGTTTGATTGTAGTCAGTTTGGTGATGCATGTGTTCTACAAAGAGCTGCTTTATTTTAATCTGTTTTTATCAGAAGTACAAAAGACAACACACAAAGTCAAATATAAAATTAATACCAAACAAAAGAAACACAAACCAGCAGGATTCCAGAACTAAACAAACAAAATAAACAAAACAAAACAAAACAAAAACAAAGCTGCATATAATTTGAAATTAAGAATTAGGGAACATATAGAACAATAAAGCAACAGATTTTAAATGTACATTCATTTTCCTGATTTCTTTTTTCAATAAATACTTTTCAAAAATCTTTTATTGTACTCCTGTACAGTTTTCTTCTGTGTTTTAAATGCTGTGACGACTGAGTTTCAGGATTTCTGTCTAATTATTTTATGAGGATGCAAAAACCTTCATTTTAAGCACAAAATGTAAACCTTACAACGCACACTGCTGCAAACATTCTGATGAAGCCCTGCAGCAGGGACCCAGAGCTCCTGGCTACAGCTCACTGATTTACTGCTGCACACATCAGAATATATGATGCTGCTCATTTGAAAACTCACATTTTCAGACCTCAGCTTGTATCCCAGT